TGCCGATACCCTCCTCGCTCAGGCGGGGCCTCCCCTGGAGGGGTGTGAGGGGCACGAAACCATGGTAATAGGTATGGGTTCCGTATACCCTCCTCGCTCAGCCGAAGGCTCCCGGAGGGGTGGGAGTGGCACGAAACCATGTAAATGTATGGTAATTCCGATACCCTCCTCGCTCATGCCGGGGCTGATCCCTGGAGTGGTGGGAGGGGCCCGAAAACCATGTAAATAGTATGGTATTCCGATACCCTCCTCGCTCGAGGTCGGGGCCGTCCCTGGAGGGGTGGAGGGGCACGAAACCATGTAAATAGTATGGTATTCCGATACCCTCTCCTCGCTCAGGCGGGGCCTCCCTGGAGTGGTGGGAAGGGCACGAAACCATGTCAATAGTATTGGTTTCCGATACCCTCCTCGCTCAGGCGGGCCCCCCTTGGAGGGATGGGAGGGGCACGAAACCATGTAAAAAAAGGGTTTCCGACACCCTCCTCGCTCAGGCGGGGCCTCCCTGGAGGGGTGGGAGGGGCACGAAACCATGTAAATAGTATGGTATTCCGATACCCTCCTCGCTCAGGCGGGGCCTCCCTGGAGGGGTGGGTTAGTGTGATATGGTATGGTATGCTATGGTACGCCATGGTATGGTATGGTACGGTATGGTACGTATGGTGTGGCATGGTATGGTATAGTATGGTATGGTATGTGTGGTAGGAACTATGGTATGGTATGGTGTGTGTGTGGTAGGAATAATATTGTGCTGTATGGAAGATGGAGCGGGAGGTGGGTGGGAAGGAGAGGGTGTTCTGGGAAAACAAGAACCCCACTCAGGATGTGGGGAATAATACATCAAAGAAACCAGACGCCGAAACAAGCACGGTGGCAAAACCGACACCAATGTTGCACCAATGTTTTGGCTTCCTGCCTGTAGCAGGCAGGCCCGTCGTAACCCCCCCCATCCGTGGAGCTCTTCGGGAGTGCGAGAAGCGACGGATGGGAAAGCAGAGGGCGAGCCTCCATCCAGCTGCGCCTCGGCCTGCCATCGCTCGGACGTCCATGTCCCGTGCATGTGTCGGTTTCGCGCGTGTTTTTTTGCGCGACGGTCCAGGATGGTCCTCGATGGTTCTCGCCGAGACAAAATGCACAGGTCCGAGCGATGCCAGGTCTGCTGCACGCCTGCAGCCGGCGAAGAGGTGCTCGAATACAGCGGCGCGTCGCTCGAGGGCTCCAGCTGCTCTGTTGCTGGCGTCGGGGCGGGGCCGCCCTACATCCGGGCAGCTGCCGGCAGCTCTTGGCAAGAGATGAATGTGCGCGGCGCCATGGCTGGAGTTGGGTCGGGCGCGTCCCCCGACAGGCGGATGTGGGACACCAAATAAAACGATACACCAAGAATGCCCCTAAGTGCTGAAAACAGCACCAAAAAATCGCCCCCCCGACTAAGTTTTATTATCTTCGGAGGGACAGGCCCGACTTCAGGCTAGGACCCCCTTCTGAAAGCCGCCGTCCTCAACTCCTGTAGCTGGTGAGGACGTCTCGGGCGAAGCGCGCAGCCCGCCTTCACCCGACACGTCGTGTGGTGGCCCGACGAAACCAGGGGACTCGCTGACACCGCAGGCGGAAGACAGTCCGATCCAGCTCTTCGAGGCCAGGGGCACGGGAGGACGCGCGCGAGGAGGCGCGGAGCTCCCGGGCAGAGCCCCGGACATGTGGGCGGCCACCAGTGGCCACCGTCATCGGGGGGCGCGAGGAGCGGTGGCGCGGAGCGAGGGGGAGGGGGGGGATGGGGCGGCCACCAGTGGCCACCGTCATCGGGGGGCGCGAGGAGCGGTGGCGCGGAGCGAGGGGGAGGGGGGGGGGATGCGTTGTGAAGGTGTGGGCCGCACCATGGCCCAGGTGCCCCGTCGCCGCGTGCAGTATTCGGCCTGACCTAAAAGGAACAGTAAGCAAGGAGCGAAGCCCCTTGTCCTCCAAGCAGGGCCTGCAACAGCTGAAGGGACGCCAGGGGGGCTCGCGGCCAGAAAGGTAGCGGAACGCATGCAAACCAAAGGAACGGCCGAGCCCCTTTTGAAAAGCAAGTGTTCCTTATCCAAGCCGGACCCTGCATCCACCCGCGCGCCATTGGCACACTGCGCCCTTCTAGAACGCGGGCAGGCTGTCTGTAAGGTCAGGGAAGATCCCCCCCTTGGTGCGGGGGCGCGCATCGCACCATCGGCGTTGCCTTGGACTGTGTTGCCGAGCTTTGCGCTGCACTGCTGTTCACCAGCTGCGCTGTACTGCATCCCGTTGTGTCGCTGTTGCGTTTCTCTGCATTGCTATGCTGTTGGTGTGCGTCTCCGTAGTGTGCCTGCCATCGCAGTGATGTGCTGTTCGTTTCAGAGGGTGCGCGCTGCCTTCCCATGCAATGCAGAGAAATGCCAGGCAAGCGCATTGCAACGCATGGTAGCAACTGAATGCGCAACTGGCAAACAGTGCGGCGACATGAAAAATTATAAGCAACGCGATGGAATGCAAACAACAAGAACATGCCACGCAGTGAAGCGCGTTAAAACGTAGCGAAAGGCAGCGCTAATCAAACGCACGTGACCGCACTGCAATGCAACACAGAGAGACCCGACACAGTGCAATGAAATGCAGACCCACAAACACTGAATACTTCCCAAGGCGAAACGATGCTCGTTTTCTGGTGCGAATACCGCAAGCTCATGCTCCAACGAGTTGCGTGTACTTGGGTCAGCTGAGTCCGCATGAGGCCCTCTCGCGTCCAACCTGGGAGCCTCTCGGGCCGCATCAGGGTAATTATTCGGGACACCTTGTGCCATATTCCTTGGGGAGCCTCGGGCCAGACGCGTCATTCTCGAGTGAGCTCGCACAAGATGCACCTAAGGCGGTCCTAGGATGCACCAGTGTCCGGACCTGGGATGCACCATCCTCGAATGGAAGCGCACAGAACACGATCGGGGAGGTCGACCCAGATCGAGGGAATGATCTCAAGACTGGAGCTGGTGACCTCTCCACAGACGGGCCGTGTGGCACCATCTTCCTGCGTGCGTGAGCGGAAGGACGGATGTCAAAATAGCAGCTGGTGGCCCCTCAAAGATGTCCGAAAGTGATGCGGGAATCGATACGGATAGACGGACGTCCCGCGACAGGAGCTGGTAACCCCCCGAGGTGTGACTCTTTGGCACCATCTTCGAACGGACTCGCACAGATTGCTCTACGGAAAGGCAGCAAAGGTCGAGGGACGGATCCCAAGACCAGAGGTCGTGACATCCTTCTGGGTGACCATGCGGTGCGATTTACCGTTGGCTGAGTGAAGAAGTCTGCAACGACCGCCAGAATGCCCGCGCAGAGGGACCATCTGGGGACCAGCCTGCGATAGTCGCCCTGCCGCCTAAGATCTTGCACAGGAGATCCGAGGCCAAGGGCCCCCTGAGGAGATCTTGCACAGATAAAGGAGGAGGAGGACGAGTAGGAGGACGAGTAGGAGGAGGAGGAGGAGAAGGAGGAGGAGAGGAGGAGGAGGAGGAGGAGGAGGAGAGAGGAAGTGGAGGAGAGGTGGAGAGGAGAGGAGGGGGGGGGAGGAGGGAAAGAGGAAGAGGAGGAGGGAGGAGGAGGTGGGGAGGTGGAGGAGGTGGAGGAGGAGGAGAGAGGGGGAGAGGAGGAGGAGGAGGAGGAGGAGGAGCCTCGCGCCTGCGGGCCCCACACCCGGGGGGCGGGCGGCCCGCGGACCGGCAGCTGATGTGAAGCCCGCTTCCGAAAGACAGCAGGTCTGCAAGGTGCAGTCCGCCAGAGAGC